GGGACTACACTGCCAAATCACTCCAATTTGAATCACAGCCTGTATTACATACATCTGACATCGAAGTCAGTGCTCACACAGGGGCTGTGGACTGAATCAGGAATTCACCATTCATACTGGATGTGATGCAATTCATATTCCAGCCTGCAGTCACCTTCATTTCCTTCCTTCCTTCTGGTCCCAATCTCTGCCGATCCTTTTATGGGGAATAAACATGGGAAATAATAATAGTGATGACCCAGTGATATGGCAGTAGGGTGATCTAGTGCTAATTTCATATATGTAAGCATTTTTTATTTTATTTTTTTAAAAAAGGAGGATGATTAGGGAAGAGATAAAAATGTAGGATGTGCTCCCCCCAATCCAGAACATCACACCCTACTGCCTATGTCACTGAAACACCACCCAAAGACACTCCCCCCTCCCACCTGTTTTTACAAGAACGTGTCACAAATAGCCATTTGGGAAGAAAATTGTTTAAATCACTTTGGTTTGAAAAAGTAGAGGTCGCTCAGTGGTAGAGGGGGGGGGGAAGCTGCTTTGAGAGCAAAAAGGGCCAGATCGGTTTGAATCAGCCTTTGTGTCATGTGGTCAGCAAAAAATGCTTTGAATTTACCCATTTTATAAGTGAAACAAATTGTGTGGTATTTGACCATGTGTAACTGTGGTTTCAAATGTAATATAGGCTGCAAATCAAATCACAGTAAATTGTAGTCGCACCCTCACTCACGTTCTTGGTAGTAAGGCTGCGGCCACCAGGCCCGCTTATTGTTTTAATACAACAGGCTGGCTGGATACGCTAGTAGGAAAATGTTCCCCTTGCTGTGACTTGGAGACTTAATAAACAACAAATCGCAGACCTAAAGGCTGGTTTCCCCTGGGAAAACGTCTGGTATGTGTGCAGAACAGAAAGACACTGGACAACAAGACCTTTATCTGAAAAGGAGTTAAGGTATATATATGATGGATAACAACACATTTTGAAAAAAGAGGTTAATGCAAAAGCAGAATGATCAAAGGGCTTCTTCCCTGGGCACAGCCAATTTTTTTTAAAAGCAAATATTTTTCAATGGCTGAAATAGCAATAAAAGAAACAGAAATATGTCTTATGAGTGTGACTGATGATCCTTGCTTACAGCAATACAGCTTTACCTCTGTCCTTGTTGATCACTGTCCCAACAAGGTGACCTATTTCATGGCCAATGAGGGAAGACAAGAAGAAACTTGCCTACTGGTAATTTAAAGACCCTTGAGTGACCCTGATTGGGTAATGTGTATAATCATGAAACCTATTTTATAACTGAGTGCCTTTTGGTGACATTAACCCTTTCTTGGCATGTTGCAATCCTGTGACCTGAAAAAGAATTATTTTTAGTTCATGTTGCCACCTAATGTCATGAATGAATCTCCTGCTGTGACAGAGAGAAAACCCAAAACAGTTCAGTGAAGGGCCAGTTCATACACTGATGTTGGAACACTCACTGACATTTGGGGGCAGGGGCGGAACTGCAAGGGGGTTTGAAAGGACAAAATGGTTATTCTTAGAGGTTGTCGGTGGTTGGAGGGAACCTAGAGCTCCATGCTGAAACATTTGGTTGCTGGTCTCATGCGTAATAATAGCAGTTACTTACAGTACTAGCTTTTTCCTTACCTGAACATGTTTGAAATGAAATGGGGTTTACAGTACAGTCCTATTTATATTCAATGAGAAGGAAGTTTCACAGAGATGTAAGCATACAGCTATGTTTTCCTGGGGTGAGAGAACACCAGAGACTCAACGTTCCTTTTAATTTGCTTTATTGACAAATACAAAAGCAACATTAACCACATATGGAGACAGAGGCACCATGCCCGTCAGGCAGCAGTGTTTTGTTTTGTTTTTTAATTAGGGAATGTTGGAAATTACAAATGATGGATAGGTTGTTCTTCAGAGGTACAGTTGCATGCATAGGAGATTTTTGTGGGCAACAATAGAACTGGTTTCCAGGGAGCAAAGGTGTCAGATAAGAGTGCATTTTATCTGTCTGTTCAACCTATATGCAGAACATGTCATGCAAAGAGCTTATTTCAATTCAGAACAAGGAAGGCGGAAATGTAGAGGAAAACGCACTGGTAATGTAAGGGGAAAAAGTAAATGAAGCAATGTGAGCACGTGCATTGCTGGGAGGTAGGTTAATGCCTTGGTGTCAGCCATACTGGGAATATTCCTACTGCACACTCCCCTCCATTCACTCTCTTGATTGTGTTTCAGAATTTTGAATTTCTGGTAAAATTCTCTTTTGCTATGCAGCAGTAGTACAGAGGCTCACAAAGGAGAATAGTTTCAAGTTCCCCAGAGTCCACCTCTTTCTCATTAAGTGGCACTTACAGTCTCAATAATGCTGAGACATTTGTAGGAGAAAGAATTTAAAACATTGTTTACTTTCAGCTGCTTAAAATTACAGACTTGTGCATGCTGCTTTTTTTACTGCACATATACTGGCAACCAACTGAACAGATCAACAGCAAACAAACAACAGCCACTAAAAGATGAAGGAGAGGAAAAGAAACACTCAGCAGAGAGGTGGAGCTCTCTCTGAATTCAAATGCTGGATGGAATGATTCATTGGTGTTGTACAATCATTCCAGCCCACAGCACTAGTAACGATGGGCAAGAAGCAATCCAGGAAGCCAATGTACAGTACTATTTTCCTACACAGCTCAGCTTATCAGGGGCTTTAAGAAAGAGCACATGGAAGTCCTTCAGTTTGGGGGCCACACGGGAAATGACCAAGATCCATGGTCTGTGTACTTTTGGTTTAGAGAATCTGAATCGCTTCTATCTTGTCCCCTGGGCTGCTTACTGCTTAGAGGAAACAAGAGGGAGCAGCTGAGGATTAGGGACTAGTAGTCATTATACTGCTGATATTCAGCTGTCTCTATATGTCTGATTCCAGGAAGGCAGTGGACGGGGGAAGGGGGACTGGATGTGGGCAAACAAACTGAAACTTAATTTAATCTGCCTAGAGGTGTGTTGGCTGGACACTTAATTTGAGAACAGTACATTAAAAGACAGTTGTACTGGATCACACAAAAAGCCTAACTAGTCCAGCATTGTGTTCTCACAAGGCCCAATGGAATATCCACAAACAGGACATGAGAATGACAACACCTCCCTGCCCATATTCCCTAGTAATTCAAGAGCAAATTCATTGCATGTAATACAGGAGACGGTACAGTATACAGGTAACCCCTGACAGCCTTACCCCACATAAATGCGATGTGACTAATCCCCTTTTAAAGCTGTCTATGCAGGGCTATCATCACAAAATCCTGTGACAGCGAATTTAAACCCTCTGCCCCCCCCCATATCTCCCTTTATTTCCCTTCCTTCTAAGATACAAAGAGTCAAATACTGTAATCTCTTCTCATAGTGGAGTTGTTTCAGATAGTCTATCATTTTCATTTCCCTCTCCTCACCAGTCTTAGATCTATAATAATCTTTTCACGACATGCTATCTAACTAGAATTTTACCAAGTGTGGCTGCATAAATGCAGGCGAAAACACCACGATGCTGCTAGTTTTATTTTGTATTTATTTTCTAACAACCCTACCATGGAATTTATCTTTCACACAGCTACTATGTGTGGGTTAAGAATTTTATCACTTTATTTACTGTAACTCCAAAATTCTTTCCAAGTCATTCACTGCCCAGGATCAAGTGAAAAAGCCCTACTCTCAATCGGGAGCACGTTTACAATCTGCCAGCGTTTCTTGATAAAGTAGGCAGTAGATGTGGTTTGGAATTACTTGGCTTGGTGCAGTATTCCTGGTGAATGCAGATCTTGCCTCACTTATATGTACATTATATATACTTTGTTGCTTCCAAATTAATTATAATGTGTCTTGTTTGTCTAGTGATAACTCTGGAAGCTGCCCAGAGGCTTCAGCATACAGAAATCACAGCAGTTAGACTGATCTCAGCAGGAGTGTTTCCACAGGCATCCAAAGTAAAGGCCCATTTAAACTGTTTTTAAAGCCCTTATCAGTTGCATCAAAGGCTACTTCCACCCACAGGAACCTGTTTGCCCACATTGGGTCTTGCAGGAGGCCTAGCTCCGGATTTCATGGAAAGAGGAACCAAAGTTTTCTAGATGTAGTGCACAAGAAGATATCACTTGAGAGATTTGTTTGGCCTTTCTTGTGTCTTTCAGTGACAATTACAGGCAACTCTGATTTGTTTCTTTCAGTGACAATTACAGGCAACTCTGATTTTTTTGGTTTTAGAAGAGGTAGTCATGTTAATCTGTGCAAGCACATCAGGCAGAATACAAAGAAACAACAAAAAAATAGAAAAAAAGACAAAAACATGTTGCACTTTAAAGACCAACCATTAGATTTTAATGTAAGCTTTCATGGGCATTTCCATTTTTATCAGACATTAAGAGACAGAATGAAATTGAATGAAATATTTGCATTTCAATCCATTTCATTCTGTTTCTTAATGTCTGACAAAAAAATGGAAGTGTCCATGAAAGCTTACATTAAAATCTAATGGTTGGTCTTTAAAGTGCAACATGTTTTTGTCCTTTTTTTGGGATTCTTCAGTTTCTTTGGAATTTGTCTGATGTTTTGGGTGTGCTTTCGAGGACTGCAGTTTACAACTCCAACAATGTTATGATTCTTCCGCTACTTTTATTATTGTTTTGTTCGTTCTTCCTCTTAAGGTTAATATTTTTATGACGGTGTATAAGCCGCCTTTTTGTTTTAACTCGGAACTGAAAGAAAACAGGCACCTTTTTAATGACACAATAAACAAATCAAAGCTTCCTTGAAAGCCACAGAAGCCCTTTTTAAAAGCGTGTGTTCTTTGCCTTAAACAGCGCCTCTTCCCCAAAGCCTTAATATAGCCTGCTCCTGCTGCATATTTACTGGCAGTTCACCCTTCCGCGAGGGTCAGCTACACGTAAACACACAGGCGCCGCGGATCTAACTGGGCCACTTTTAGGGCCTGCACAGTAAAACAGTTTTCCCCGCCTTCCGAACGCCGACGTCACCTCCTCCGGACCAGGCCGTGATTGGCTGCGGGGAGCCGGAAGCGAGGGCGGGCGCTCCGTCCCCGTTGCCGCAGTGACAGGACCAGAGCGCTCCTCAGAAGCTGGGAAATGGCGGCAGCATCATCGTCGTCGCGTCGCTCCCAGCAGCATCATCACCACCCACCTCATCACCCGGTACAGACGCCCGTGTCGCCGCCGCGGAGCCCCAGGCTCTCCCCTACCGGCCCTTCCCCTCAGCAGAGGCCCAGCCTCTCCGGACCCGAGGGGGAGGCTCCAGGGGGGAGCAGCGGCCGGGAAGGGACGGCCGCGCCGGAGAGGCCTTTCTCTCCGGAGAGTGTCGGCGAGAGCGGGGCGCCTCCCGCTCCCCCGGGCTCCGGGGCCAGCAGCGCCGCCAACAGCAGCAGCTCCAGCTCCGGCTCCGGCTCTTCGTCGTCTTCGGCGGCCTCCAGTCCGGCCGCCCCCGAGAGCCCCGACCCGCCCCCTCCGCCGCTGCAGCCGCCACCTCCGCCTGTGGGAAGCGGCGCCTTTCGGGAGCTGCTCGAGGCCTGTCGGAATGGGGACGTGACCCGGGTCAGGCGACTGGTCGATGCCTCCAACGTCAACGCCAAGGATATGGCCGGGAGGAAATCCACTCCTTTACACTTCGCCGCAGGTGAGACTCTGGCCGAAGGGGCAGGAGGAGCATCGGGGTTGGGTAGGGGTCGGCACCGCTATTGTGGAGAAAAGAAGCGAGTGCTTACTTGGAAGGGGCTTCCCGGCTAAGGGGTGTGTGTGAAATCGTTTGCTGTGCAACCTACATTCCCTGTAGACTGAGTAGGCCCGAGCCCGGGACTGCTTCTTTGCAAAAACAGGCAGGCGAAGGATTTTGAAAAGTACTATCTACATTACTTACAGTCACCCTCCTTCCCTCTTGAAACAGAAAACAAAAGCCCCCCCCCCAAAAAAAAGGACTTGAAGACTCACTATTATATTTTAATTTTAAGCTTTTGTGGAACATGTCCACTTCGTCATGTTCTATGAAAGCTTACATTAACTCATAGCAATCTTTAAGGTACCGCAGCATTTTAAAAATTGCTTTTATTTTGTTTTTCTTGTTGAAATGCTTGCACAAACTAACATGGCTACAACTTTTAAAACTTTCCTCTTGGGAATCAGTGGTATGATGTGTGTAAAATATCAGACTAGTACTCAAGAGAGCTGAGTTTAAGTTCCCACTTAGTTATGGAAATTTCACTGTGTGTGATAGTGTTAAATTACTCATTGGACGTTTATACAGTACAGTATCTTGAAAATTCTACCAGGATTCTTGTAAGTGGGAAGCAACTTGACAGTACATAAGAAAAACTTGCCTCTCACTCTAGAAGGTGAACTGAGGAGGATCAGGCTCAGCATATCTTGCCCTGGCCTCACTTGCTCATGATCTCTGTGAGCTTCAGCCTGGGAAGTTTGAGAGGGACATGGTGGCGCTGTGGGTTAAACCGCAGAAGTCTCTGTGCTGCAAGGTTGGAAGTCCAACAGTCGTAAGATCGAATCCACGCAACGGAGTGAGCACCTGTCGCTTGTCCCAGCACCTGCCAACCTAGCAGTTCGAAAGCATGTAAAAATGCGAGTATAATAGGTACCACCACGGTGGGAAGGTAACAGCGTTCCGTGTCTAGTCATGCTGGCCACGTGACCACGGAAACTGTGTATGGCTTGGAGACGGGGATGAGCACCGCCCCCTAGAGTCGGACACGACTGGACTAAATGTCAAGGGGAACCTTTACCTTTACCAGACAGTTTCCCCGTTGACAGACCAGGATATGATACAGATCAGAAAATATTTGGAAATGGCAAGTGCTTTGGGGAGGAAGTTGCCACCTCTTTTCACTTGCAAACCAAATTTGGCCCAATATGAAAAATTGAAGTGGGGGCATTTGGAGAATAGAGAAAGAGGTGACCATAATTGCTGCTTTAGAAAACAGCTGTTCTTGGCAGTTTTTTCCAATGGCAAGCACAGCAGGGTGGTTTTAGCCTTTGCAAGAGCAACTCTTGTCTCTGTGAAGTTGTTTATTCTGTGCCAGTGCCACAGCAGGGGGAATTGGTTAAGATTTGGCCCATTGGGGCTGCTCAGAGAGAATGCTGGCTTCGGAAGCAACCTCTGTTTGGGAACTATATGGGGAGAAGATTGGGCCCAAGTGGAAGATCGGGCCTTGGAAAGATGTGTAACTGAGAATTTTTTGTAATGTGGCCACTCCTTGATAGGTGAATGATTCTTCAAGTATGTGGTTCTTCTTTTAAAGGGCAAGAAGCTCACCTCATTTCTAGTGTGACTAAAGTTTATTGTTATGGTTTTTTAAGATGTGAAAATGTATATGATTGCTGAGATAAGCACATTTATCATACCAGTACACATATCAGACAGTTAATGCTTATGATGAAAAATGGTTAAGTATAGTATATTATGCTGAGTTGCTAGCAGCAAAGGAGAAACTGAGTGATAACTGACCCCACAGTTCAGTTGTGTAGGGAAGAGCTATTTGATTTTAAAAAGAATTACTCAGAAAGACTTGATTTAATCCTCTCAACCCCCCTGCACTCTTAATTAGGTGTGTTCTCTTTTGTGTTTTTGGATTTCACCCCCCAAGTTTCCCCACATGGTGGGTTTTGGGTGAGGTTTAACTTCGAATGTGTTGGAGGGCTGGGCTGGTGTTGGAGAGGGCTGCTGTCCTGGTCCAAATGAGTGGCACTGGTTGTCTGCAGAGAGTGACCATAATGGCAGTGCATTCACAAGAGAAGAAAGAGAACAACCATAGAAAGATGGAGGTGGACTGTGGGGAGTATGAGTGCAGGCGCTTTCAGGAAGAGTAGTCTGAAGAGAGGAACAATTCAGGTGAACCAGGAAAGGAGCAATTATTAGTATGAGCCTGTGTGTGCAAGTATATACATATATAAACATATATGGATGGGTATCAAAAAGTGAAACTGTTGATCTCTTTGAAATCAGTGAGAGGTTGACAGATCCTCCTATTAGGCAAAAGGAGATAGTCTCAGGCCTCAGTGGATGGATAGAGGGAAAAGATAAGGGTATACTTTGACTCTGCTTTGCATGCCAGGGATTAGCAATGGCACTGGTGGTGCCTAGCCATGCTGGATCTGTGGTTTATTTGAAATTAATTGCAGTACTGGAAGAAAGAAAAAGAAGAGCTGGAAGGAAGGGGGGTAGGACTAAGGAGAAGAAAAACTCAGATGATGACTTCCATTTATGTTTTTTACCGTAACTCACAGAATTTTGTGTGGTGAATTCTTGGAGGTTTCTGGGAGTTGCAGTACACTTCTGGGAGATGGTGCCTGGGGAGATCTGCATGCTGCAGCCCAAAAGCAGGAAAGGAACCTTAATGCATTTTTTCCTGTCCGGTTCAGATTAACATAATCCCCAGTAATCTTCTATTCATTGATGTTGGAAGTACATGAAAGTGTGGACTTTCAAAGATAATGGCTTGCCTTTCTATATACAGAGAAAAAATAGCTGAGATTGTTGTCCTAAAGGAGTTAGCATTATTCAAAGAAATTAATGAAAGCAATCCTGGAATTTAAGAGGGCCTCCCAAGAACTTTCAAAGTTGTGCCATTTTAAGAGTGCCAGTGGGGGATCTCTAGAGATATCTTCAGCCAGGGTTGGGAAACAGGGCCAATGAGGTCTGTTATGTCCCATCTCTGCATATTGTTGTTAATTATGATGTTTTTCTGGAGACATGAACCCAATTTGAGAATCAGGTTTTTTTTATAATGGAATCTATGGAAAACACAGAGAGAGACACATATGGAACCCTATGAAATTGAGGGCCAAGGTTATGTTCTATTTGCAAAGCTGTAAAAATTAGATGTTGGAAATACCTATTATGCATCTTGTAATAGAGAGTTAGAATTTATAGGCCAAAATCCTGTTGTTTAGTGTAGACTAGGCCTGTTAAATCAGTGGGAATTTAGTGAGAACTACCTTCCCAGGGTGGATTTGATTTAAATTAAGTTGATTTAAGTCACAATTTAAATTAAAAAAAAAAGATTTTTTTTCGATTTAAAAAAATCATTACTTTTTGTCCACCTTGCTCCTTGCTAAGTTCCATTGATTCAACTTACTCCAACTTACTGTAGCATAGAAAGCCACAGTTAAATTGTGCTACTTTGGAACACTACTTCCTCATTTCCTGCCAAAAAGTAGCCTCTTTGACTTGAGGTACCTATGTGATGTGATCATCATTGGACCTGTTAAGAGGTAGCTCTTAATGAATCATGCATGATAAATTACCAGCTACCTGAAACCTATCCCCACTGAAAAGGGATGTCAGCTAATAATGAGCAACATAAGGTAATTCAGCATGCAATTTATGCCCCACTACATGTATGAAAGAAGATCAAGTAAATTCCCAAGATAATACTATTGAAGTAGCCTGTTTCTGTTAAAAAATAGTTTAATCATTTTAACATTTTAAATTTGTTTGAACTTTATGTATATTTCATATACAGTATGTCCATAATTTTAAATTGTGCAGTGCTCTAATACGAAGAAAGAAAGATTGGCCGCATATTAAGGAGTCCATTGAGAAATTTTTGTAGGATTTTGGCATCTTGTAGTGCAACATACATAATTTGCAACAATTTCTATAATAGAACATATTAAAAGGTTAATTTTGAAGGTGCCATAAGTTATTGTTGTTTGAGTTCCACTGTTTTATCTACTCGGACAATACTATCATGGAATCTAGTATGAATCATTTCGTCAAGTACTTGTTCATTTGCACTTCTTTAATACTATAATATCATATGCTAACAATGGCCTTTTGCCATTTCTGTTGCCAAACTAGATGGTCACTGTTTCCAGGCATGTAGTTTTATGATGCATCTGTTGCCTTGCTGGACTTTCTGGCCTCCCTTTGAAATATACCTCCTCCTTCTCTTTATCTCTATCTGTATGTGTATCTGACAGCTGAAGTTAATACTTCATACTCAGACACATGAAAGCACAGGAAAAATAAAGTCATTCTATAATGGGCTAAGATGCTAAGGCAACAGTAAATACGATAAGCTAGCAGAAGAGGTATTTTTATAGGTAGTTTTTCTTCTTACCTAAAAATAGCTCTTCTACTTAAATTTGACTCATTAAAAAATAAATACAAAAGCAGGGACAGGTGATACCTTTATTGGACCACTAAAAAAATAACAACACAAAAACAGTGAGCTTTCATTGATAATTCATCTTTTTCAGGCTGTACACCAAGTTCTTGTGGATAGCTCCAAAATTATATGTTTTAATTAAAGTCTCAAATATGGCTGCTGTTGAGGGCCAGGTGTGGCTTCTTAGATGGCTTCTCTCTGAGTAAGATAAATTATCAATGAAAGTTTGCTGCTTGTTTTTTTTAGTGATGCAATAAAGGTCTCATTTGTTCTTGTATTTGTATTATTTTGGAGACTACACAGCCTTTTCCTGATTTTTACTTTAAAAATTACTCTCAACTGAAGCACAATGAAGTGTTCTAAATGTTTTTACTTAATTATGTTTCAAGCAGTAAGGATTTCTCAGATTTGTGGCTCTCTATCCAATTGTTACTTTCGCTTTTCAAATATAAGTATACACTATTAGGTGTTTTTACTCCTTCCTCTTTAATTTTTTCCCCATTCTTATTAAATGGTACACATAAAATAAGCATTAGTTTGTTTAATTAAATCTTTTAAAGAAAATAAGCATTTCAGATTTATTAAATACTTAGGCCATATTTGTTTCATTTATGCTTCTATAGTACTTTTATGGGCACATAATTCTAACAGTTTTAAATTATTAGCTTGGTTTCCCCCTGTACAAATAATTTATATGATCTACCTTGAGTTTCAGTTTTGTCATGTGAAATAAACTTTTATAAGGCTGAATCAGAATTAAACAGGGACAGCTTCAGTTGTAGTTGGACTGTAACAAAAGCAAGTAATTTAATAATTTGATTCACTAAATAGATTATTTAGTTTAATATGTTTACGCTGAATGTTCATTGCCTTTACATCTTTGTGTTTTGTTTTAAATAACAACCTTTTGGAGCCCAATATAAGGATAAAGATCAGATTTTGAAATCCTTTCTATCTGTGCTCTGATCCTTACAGTCCTTGCCCTTTGGTTGCTATTTACCCTGACAGGGAAGCTGATAACTTTTGGGGGGATTGTGTTGGAATTGTGACAAAATAGAAAAGGGTTTTAAATTCAGCATTCTTGGAAGTTCTTTAGTCCTGACCCAGATTGTGACCTCCCTGGACTCCCCTGTTAAAAACCAACAATTGTTGCATGAGAGGCAAACACAAAGTTGATTTAAAATTGTATGTAATTTGGCCCTCAGTTTGGACAGATAGGTGGAAAGTGCTACATTATATCATAACACTAGTAGTGGGAAAGGCCAGAAGGTCCTAGAGAGCGCCCAGATCCAGCCAGACCTCCAAAGTGTGGTCTCACTCCCTCAGTGGCCAGCTTGAATGGACTCCTTCGGTCTAGTTGCATGACACTTACCCGAAGGCTCCTCCAGCCAGGTCGGCAGAAACCTCCATTCCAGAAGCAGTTATGGTGGGCAAGGTGGGGGTGATTGAGACCGCTGTAAGAGGGCCGATGACAGTAGCCATCTTTATATTCGCGAAGGCTTTCATGGCCAGGATCTAATGGTTGTTCTGGGTTTTTCGGGCTCTTTGTCCGTGTTCTGAAGGTTGTTCTTCCTGACGTTTCGCCAGTCTCTGTGGCCGGCATCTTCAGAGGACAGCAACCTGTGCTCTGGTTGCTGTCCTCTGAAGATCCTGGGAACAACCTTCAGAACACGGACAAAGAGCCCGAAAAACCCAGAACAACCAATAGCCATCTTTATTTGTTTATTTAATTTTTATACCGTCCATTTGTCCGAGGCCACTCTGTGCGGTTTACAACATACATATATAACCCATCAAATACAATTTAACATAACAAAGAATAGAAATAATGAAATATGAACAGGCAGTAACTCAAAGCATAAGATTACATCAAAATAAAACATTTAAAACATTACAACATGTAAATCATTTAAGATGGTGCACTTGGTCAGATAGGCTAGATGGACTCAGCTGAATTTGCAGGTATGACTTTTTCAAATGCCTGCCTAAATAACCAGGTTTTAAATGACTTTTAAAATATTGCCAGTGAACAGACCTAATGAATTGCACGGGGGAGCTTATTCCACAGCCGAGTAGCAGCCATCGAGAAGGCCTGGTTTCTCCTCTTCTCCCTCCAGGCCTCTCTCAGGTTATCATCCTGAGCTGGCCTCTTTCATCATTGCTGCCGCACCCTGCGCTTGGCCCACCTGTGTGACATTTTTAACCTGTTGGAAGGATAAAGGGTTATTTTATTTATTTATTTATTTATTTATCTATCTATCTATCTATCTATCTATCTATCTATCTATCTATCTATCTATCTATCTATCTATCTATCTATCTATCTATCTATCTATCTAT